ATTTCTGGAAATTTGTCTTGGAGGAGGTGGCTAACCATAAGCCCCTTCGTATGAAGAATTTGTCGTTTCTTTTCCTTTCAAAAAAAATTTTTTTAAAGCCATTCGATCCCATTACACTTGATTTCATAAATCACCTTGTCAATCCTGCGTGGAAGTCCTCTGGCAGATTGTATTTTGATCATAAAACCGTAGTTTTGTCCAATCTAAATGATCCTTCAGAGGGGAGTTCTGTGGGACAACAAATAAACTCACTATCTCTTTGGGATCATTGACGTAATCTCCGATTAGCTCTTTACCGGATGAATTGCAAGGTGACAGTTGCACTGACAATTCTCCAAGTTCTTCACCTATGTAACTGACTTGTGCATTTATTTGTTTTGCACGTTATGTCTTGCTTTATCTATCAAATGAGATTTATAATGGAATTTACCTGTAAAGTCCACGATGGGATATGTTTCTTCGGAGTCCATGAGATAAGCTAATGGTTGCAGAAACACAATGGCTGATCCCAAGAAACTTTTTGAATCGGGTGCTTCGTAGAATGGATCGCGCTCCTGGTTAAATAATATGTTGTTTATTACACTTTGTAATTTTGAAATCTGATTTTTATTTCAAAACTGTGAGAACCTAAAGATTCGAAAAAAAAAGAAAATGGCAGGAATTAAGACAAAGTATTTGCAAGATTTTTTTACCATGTAAAATTGCGAAACATCTGCGAGGGGACTAGTTTCCCCGGTTGTTTGGCTGAAATAGAAGAACAACCGTGAACTTCGTGGAGTGAGAATTTTAGTGATAATTTTGAAGGTTTTGCATTTTTTAAATAGGTGAATAATATTTTTAGACAATTTTAGTATAATGGTGTAATAATTTGTCTCAATGAGATAGCACTGCTTCAACATGATTTACTCTTGTAATTTTGATACCCCTAGAAAACGGCAAAAAATGAAATCTAAAAAGCGACAGTTTGCTTCTAATATTTTTCAAAAGCTCAAGCTATTATATCACTTTTCTAGGTTTTTATAAACTTTCTAATTACATTATTTTGGATTTATTTTTCGCTGTTGTAATATTCTTTCTGGTGAAATGCTCACCTTTGGCATGTTCCACTCTTCTCCATCTTGCTTGTTCTCGTACATCTCTTGCATACCATAGTAACGATTCATAAATCTAGCTTTTTCCCACATAAATCGAGTGTCTTCGCTGAGGTTATGCACACTGACCCAAATCTGCAACAAAGGCAACCCGCTTTGTTTTTGTTCTCTCTCCCCAACAAGGATAAGTGGAACTTCTTGAGACCAACCTCAGTGAGCCCTTCCTGCAGACCACGCATTTCAGGAGAAACGAGCACCAACTCAAATTTCACATTTCGCTTCAGTTCCACGGCCATCGCATTGGCTCGATAGACCAATGGCATCATTGAGACAAGCTCCTCTTCAAGTATGAGGTCAGCTAAAAAGTTGTTGAATAACTTTTTGAAAGGGCAACTCATATTTTTCTCGGAAGCAAGAGCCTTGAGTATGTGTAAAAATGTATGCAATTGTAAATATGAATTTATAACTGGAAAGTTGTCTTATTTCCTGAGCTAGGTTATAACTCATCACCTTTGCTCTTCCCACCCTCCGACGAAATTCCAATTCCTGCTCCTTTTGCAATTTCTTTCTGTGCCTCTTCGTAGGTGATATCCTTGCGGGCTCCACTCTTGTTCGGATTGTTGAAGACGTATAGATGATTACCTCCGAACAGAATTCTGAAACAAGTACAGCGATAGTGTTGAAGACATTTTAGAACAATGAGGTAATTCAACCATATCTCATTTCGCAAAAATGCCCAAAAAATCCACTTTTTTAACACAAGTAACAGAACGGTTCAAACATGCAAGGAGGAGAACATTTTCTTACACTTAGTAACCCATCTGATTGTGTTGTGGTTTACGCATTTTATTGAGAAAGAAGGAAAACTCAAGTTCAGGTTTGAACTGCGTGCACGAAGCAGTCAGCAGGTTGAAATGATTCTACAGGGTGTCCCAAAAGTCTTGGAGCCTAAGTTTG